TGTAACTTTGAACAGTCATTAAACAAACTGTTATAAGTTGAGGACTAGCTGTAGTGGGGTTAAAGTACCGGTAGTATTTTTCTCTTTCTTTCAACAACATCCAAAGGTAGCCTTGAGGTGTGTAAAAGTTGTTAGCCTTCCCTCACTTGGAAAGGGAGTCAGGTGAGGGCTGATTGAGATCTGGAAGAAGCCCTTTTGCTATGAAACCTGCCTTTTTTAGCTACCAATAACAGGAGGCTATTTAAAGCTTTGCAAGGCTTTGCCTGTAGATACAGATAATTAAATAATCTTATGACCTAGAAACTGTTCCTGAATTTCATATGCTTTACTGTGTCCCCAGTAGAACATCCATTCTTCCCTAATTTGAAATGGTTCAGATTGGTGATAATTAACAAATGGAAACATCAGCAGGGGTTACACAGGTGGCTATAACAAACAAGTCCCAGGTGGTGTGACATAATGATCATATCATTGCATCTCAAACTTTCTGTGACTGAAAAGTCATCACTGTGGATTTAGCTGCTGTTTTGGGGCTCTTTTAAAAGCTTGCTGAATGCATGTCCTCAAAGCTATTTTCTGTATGAAATCAACTACAGGTAGTCCTTGACTTATGACTGGTTAGTAAGTGACTGTTATGGTCTAGGACAGCTTTCCTCAAGTTGGATTCCCTCTACAGCTGTGAACCTGTAGGCATATTGGCCATTGCTGACAACTTTGGGAATTGAAGTTCACTCAGTCTGGAAATTGCCTAGGCTGGGAGTGACTGGCTTTTAATATGTGAATCCAGCCATTTTGACTTGTTCAACAAACTGTGGTTAAACCAATTCATGGCTTAGTGTAATCTGTGAACCTCGTGTATAAAATAGTTTCATCAGTTAACAGTTAGTATTACTCTGGATAACCAATTTGGTTGGGAAAAACAAGTGTTCTAATAGTTGTTCCTCATCATCTCCTAGAGCAGGAGTCTTCAAACTTGGCCCTTTTATGACTTGTGGACTTCAATTCCCAGAATTCTTCAGCCAGGCATGCTGGCTGAGGAATTCTGGGAGTTGAAGCCCACAAGTCATAAAAGGGCCAAGTTTGAAGACCCCTGTCCTAGAGATGACATCCTTTGACTGGAGACATAAAGGCTAGGCAGTACTTGGCAGAGTCCAACGTTCTTTGGTGATTCATCTTTTTCTCAAAAAGTAGCAGCACATATCAATCTTTCATGTGGGTCTACCCACTCTTCCCTTTTCACCCTCATTGTGTTCATAAGCTTTAACAATTATGGCTTGTTCAGATTTGAATAGGCCCACTATCCTTGGTGTGCCATTCAGGGAAAGATGGATGATGTGTCATAGGAAGCTTACATTTAGCTCTAAATGCATAGACTGAAGCCTAGAAAGTATGTGAATGTGTGTGTGCACTGCTTGGCTATGTGTCTCTTGTCCTGTTTATTGCTAGTCTCTTTAAACAACCATCCATCACTCCACATCCTGAATAACTCATTTGGATGACCTGCTATAGAGAAAGCTCTAATAATTCCATGAAGAGCCCATAATAAGAGCCGAAGACTTTATTAGAAATTGAAGCAGATTTATTTTTGTTCCATCATAGTCATCATGAAATAGCTAGAATGGAAAATGAAACACTTCTGCCACTGTTTGGTCCCTAAGGGGCTATGTCAAAATAATAATCCCATTTGATAAGGAAATATCTCCCAATTCTTTATTGTACACAATAAAGAATTTTGTAATGGAAGCTAATTTTTAAATCTCTAGGGAGCCTCTTGCTAAACGGCAGATGTATTCTGTGTTAATACCACAAAACATGGAAATAATGATTTATGCAGAGGGGATATAAATTATTTGCAACCTTTCTACCTTTGTACCCAGAAAGTTTCAGTTATTGGTATTTCCATGAAAGGAAGTGAAAGACTCACAATTAAAAAAACAGCAACTGCAAATAGTTAAGACTCTTACCAGTCACTGAGTTCATATAACATGCTAAGCCATCATCTGATTTTAGGTGTAGCATGCTATGTGAACCAAGTTAATTGAGGTTCTTCTCAAGAACTTACTGTTTGACATGCCATGGTTTAACACAGCATGTTACCTCAGGCATGTAATACTGAGCTAGACAATCTAATGCACGGGTGTCTAAGTTGCCGTGTCACGTGATGTGTTGCGACATATCACAACTTTTTTTTCATTGCTGGAGCTGGGGTGAGAGGCCACGGCCAGGCCAGCAGTTTGACACCCCTGGTCTAAGGAGATGATTTAATATTGGGCATCTTCTAAGTTAGCATTAGTTTGTTTGGTCCAACAATTAGCATGTCAGTCAGTTCTAAAATTTCATACTCAGTAAATTTAGTTAATTACCAGGAGTTTCAACTCAATGGTAGTGTATGCAGGAGGCTCTAGATCAGGGATAGGCAACTATAGACCTTTTACGACCTGTGGACTTCAACTCCCAGAAGGATACCTGAACCATGCTGTCTCAGGAATTCTGGGAGTCAAAGGTTATAGGTCATAAAGGGCCCACAGCTGCCCACCCCTGATCTAGACTCTATCATTGACATGTCCAGGTAGATTTGGAAAAATTCCTCAGTGCAACCCTGTTCCTCTTATCTACCATGAATTTGGCTTAAAACTATACATTCCACTTTATTTGCTGTGAGAACAGCTTTGAATCTCCTATTCCCTACATTTTCCTATCATGTTTAAGATGGATTTTTCATAGTTTCCCACCTTGATCCTTTGTAAAAAGAGACAAAATTTCACCTCTGGCATTTAGCCAGGAGGGAGTTATGAAAACTGTATTTTTGACAGCGTATTGAGTCCAACTTGCAGATTGGTGCTAATGCTTCTTTCTCCCACTGCCAAAACTTGAACATTGGCTGGCAGATTTCCCCTGAAAAAAAGTCCCGTCCTTGTCAACAAAGAGCACTCACATTTTTAATTCAAGTTTGTAAAAATTAGATCAGTTTTAAGCCGAACGCAAGACAACGAGGCAGTGTCTCTGAGCAAGCATCAAGAAACTTCCTGAACTTTCAACTTCCCTTCAGCTGCTTTTATGCTGTAGAATTCTACCGTAAGCAGCTTTCTCCTGGGGATCAAAAGAGAAAAAAATAATAATTGTTCCAGCAGAAATGACTGACTTTGGCATTCTTACCTTTCAGTTCCGATTTCCAAGTGTGCCTGGTCCGGCTCATGATTTGTTGCTTCTGAGTTTTGAATAATGCAAAAATTCTAGAAAATATCATGGGAGAGAAAGCATAGTCCATGATGCCTACTCAGCTGATATAAGTGAACATCTGGGCAGCCATTTGGGGGAAAAGGTGCAACATCAGAGCCTTCCAGTGGGTCTGCTTATCCATCTTATGAAATAACATTCATCTTTTGCAATTAATGTTAAAATAAGGCATTGTTTAATTAGAATAAAAAAGTCTCAGACCTTTCCCAAATGGTTCAGAGCCCACCACAAAACAGGCATGGATTATTCCTGTCAAGAAGGCCTGGAGGAATGTTGTCCATGGGGTCGCAATGGGTCGGACACGACTTTGCAATTTACAACAACAAAAACATGTGTATTACTTTTTACACAAATTCCATTTAACTTACTTGGAGATGAAGTTTGAGCATTTATGAACTAGCATTACTTATATTCTACCTTTTGAACCCATAATTTAAAAACACCTTTTGTAAGGTGACCAACTTTTTTACAACAAAAAGGAGGACACGAATAAATTTAAGAAAAAAATATCGTAAATAAAAGAAACATTGTATTTATTGCAACAATAATACAGAATACACTATATGCATAATAAAAAACATTTGTAACAATAACATTTTATATTGTAATTATGCTTACATGCCTATTAATTATTTAAATGAGTACTTTTCCATTGAATGAATATTTTTTGTCAATGTATCATCTTCTAACAATATATTGGAAATATCTGAACAAGAAATATCCTTCATATTGAATTTTACGGCAAGTGCTGCAGCTAGAGTATCAATATTCAATCTCGATTTCTCACTTGTCCAAAAATCTACATGGCTGGACTGCGCAGGGGTGGGCGGCGGAGGCAGGTGTTGTGAGCCAGGCGCTCCAGGATGGCCTGTAGATGCGCAGGGTGAGGTGGTGGCAGTGCAGGTCAGCACTGCGTAGACCAGCAGCTGGCGCAGCCCATGGAAGGTCAACTGCCCGCCGTGCCCCCGCCCACAGCCGCCCCGCCAGCACTGCTGCCGTGGAGAGCCGGCCCTACGGCTCGCAAAGCACCAGCCGCGCCAGCTCCGGCCCTGCAGCTGCCCCCCAGTACCACCATCCACCCTGCGCATCCCAGTAGAGTCGGCCCCGCGGCTTGCAAAGCACCAGCCGCGCCGGCTCCGGCCCTGCAGCCGCCCCCCCCAGCCGCCCCCCAGCATCACCGCCCCCCCAGTTGCCCCCAGCACCACAACCCCCCCCCCGCCCATCCCCGTAGAGCCGGCCCTGCGGCTTGCAAAGCACCAGCTGCGCCGGCTCTGGTCCCGCAGCCACCCCCCCCCAGCCGCCCCCCAGCACCACCGCCTACCCTGTGTATCCCCACGTAGAACTGAACAGGGAAGATGAAGTGAAACTTACCGCTCCAGTCTCCTCCAGCTATCTTTGGAAAGAAGAAGTAGGAGATCGTGTAGTTGGGTAGCAGTGAGGGGTGCAAGTTCCTGCAACTTGCACGTGCAAAGTTTGCCGCCCGGGTGTTTTGGCGCGCTCAGCAGCAATTCATATTGGCTTTCGAAAGCCAATAGGGGGAGTAGATGCAAAAGTTGAAAAAAAATAAAAAAAAAAGGTCCCGGAACGCCTTCTGAGCGTTCTATGAGGAAACAAAATCCCTGCAGATTAGTCGTCAAAAAGAGGACATTTAGGAGGACATTTTCGAGAGAGGACAGAACTCACAAAAGGAGACTGTCCTCCCAAAAGGAGGACGGTATATGGAAAAGGAGGACATTTAGGAGGACACTTTTCAAGGGAGGACAGAACTCAAAAAAGGAGGACTGTTCTTCCAAAAGGAGGATGGTTGGTCACCTTACCTTTTGTCTCTGTGCAGCCTAATAGGTTGTGTGAATATTGCTTATGTGTACAATTGAAATGTTTTCTTTGTTTGATTTGGGGGCAGGGGCTGCTGCAATTGCCCTTGGTGGATTATATTCATAACAATAAAACATCCTGATACAGTTACAGTTACCAACAATAAGCAATAAGAGTCCCTCAGTTAAACTATTGATAAAGTCACAAATACAATGAATCCCTTGCCCAATTTTCTTTTAAGTGACTCAAACTGGAATTAACATTATTTTTACTAAAGAGATCTTGTTAGATGAGAGATAACTTTTTCTGAAAATGTTGCTTATTCTTCCTGTTGCATAAGTTTTTTCAAAAGTCCCATTAACTAATCACATACTGAGACAGATTTGGAAAATGAGGACAACTCTGTTGAGCAATAAAACAGATCAGACTGCAGAAAATTCTGAAAATAAGTGGGATTTGCTGAAAGTAAGGAATGGTTTGTGTGTGTCCGTGTGTGCGTTCCCATTTGTGTGGTCCTGTCTTGGTGGCCAGGGAGCACGGTTTTATATACAACACTGTATATGAGTCAGCACTGCAAAAGGTTTCATTGCAGACATTCGTATTGAGGTCTTTAGCATGAGATTGACCCAAAGACATGCCTGTACAGTTCTAATTTTTTCTGTGTGTTTGTTATTTAATTTTAGTGAACCCCAAGGAGCTGACTAGGCAAAAAAAAAAAAAAAAAAAACCCAGGCTGTGGCATTATATAAAAACAAAAACAAAAAAAAGTGAAGTAAAAATCTTCTAGAGAAGCAAAGTAGATGAAGGATGGTACAATGTTATTATCTGGTTGAATGAGGTGCAATACGGAACTCTGGTGTCATATATTGCTCTAACAGGAAATGGGTAGAAAAGCTGAAGTGAACTTCAGAGAGAACTGACATCTTCTGTTGAAGCCATCCCAGGTCTGTTTCCTTATTTTGCAGCTACCGTTTTGGTCTGTTCACTAAATAAGAGGGATAAAGTTTTGAGGCTAATGCAGTTGAGCTAGAATGCACGTGACATTGATTGACTCAGTGGTTGCAGAGGCAAAGAATCCTTCAAAAGTCAAGAGAGCAAGGATCTGACTTGGAACAATTTAATCCTCCTTTTATGAGGGAAGGGGAAATTGCAAATTTGGCTGAGATCAACACTGTTGTTAAGCCTGAGGCTCAAGGTTATTTTCTCAAGGGAATCGAAGGGAATATGGAGAACCTAAGGAGCTGTCATCTCAGAGAAAACTTGGCTGACTTGCAAGAAAAGGGAACCTGGAGAAAGGGGAAATGGAGGAAGACACAAGAAAGGAACTTGTGAGAGATAAAAAGTTCTAGAGATACTTTCCAGTCTGGGGGAATATGTGGAAAGAGGGAAACTAAGGAGACTGAGCAAGGGACAGGATCACAAGGAAGTGAGACAAAGTAATTTGTGTATTTAAAGCTGGGGAATGAGTGGATTGAAGAAGGACAAGCCGAAGGGCAGAGCAGACTTGTGGCAAAGCTGCTCTGAGGTTCCAGATACAGATAAGGTTGTACGATGTCGGATTATAAGGAAATGGTTAGGTAAAAAGGGTTTAGAGAGAATAGTTTGTGGAGACTGTGATTCAGAGAAGAAAGAAGGCAGCAAGTTACCATAATTCTGAATTGTCCAAAGAGGAAAAATCTTACCAGATGTGGCTTTGCTGTCACTGACAGTAAATGGGTAGACAGGAGGACTCGTTTTGAAACAGGTTTTTTTTGGTACTGATGGTCATTTTTTTGGGCCTTGCATAAACTGCAGGATGTATAGAAAGGTTTTTGTGAAGGCTTTTTTAAAACATTCAAACAGGAAAATAGCAAAAGAGAGCTTGTAGTTTATAGATGAATCATTTTTCACTTGAACAGAAAAAAAAATTGAAGGACGTGAAGTAAGAGGAAGTGGGTAGATAGAGAATTGTGTCAAAGATGCAAACTAATGACAAAGAGGAGTGTGCAAAAACAATCCTCCATAAACAGTGTTCTGAAGGGGCAGGGGGGCAACATGTCTAAAGCCTAATACACCATTCTGCAAATATGCAAGAAACAACAACAACAACAAAAGGTCAGCTAAACCTGAAATAAAGATAACATTATTTAGATGGGAAGCTATGTGCTTGGGAATAGATTTACTTAGCAACTACTCTTCTGGCATGCTGGGTTTGGATTGATTTAGCAGTGCTGTTTGTATATACAGTATAATTAAGGCTAGCAACCAGCCTCTATCCCAAATAGATGATAGAACATTCTGTCTTCTTTTCTGCATTACCCTTGTTTTCTGCTTTGCTACTTGTCCATCACAGCTTCTGTATTAGATACAGATAGATAGGACTTTTGCCCTAAGGGGTTCTGAGAGTATCTGTTCAATGACAGTGGGAAAAGCCAGACTGTTTGACCTAATCAGTCAGGTTCATTGTAGTAAGATGGGGATGAAAGCAATCTTCAGACAAATGTTGTCTTAAGCATGTAGTGCAGTGGTGGCGAACCTATGGCACAGGTGCCAGAGGCGGCACTCAGAGCCCTCTCTGTGGGCACAGGTGCCGTTGCCCCAGCCTCACCCCTCCTGTGACCCCATCCTCTCCAGCAGCCCCCTGAAGGAGAGTCGCCCCTGAGCATGGCCCACATGGAGCAGCGCAGCCAAGGACATGGCAGCCAGGCAACATAGACAAGAATCTGCCCACACACCCCATCATGCAGTTGATGCTGCAGGGGGCGGGCAGAGGGTGTGGCCGCCATAGCGCTGCTGGGCTGCCTGGGTTATCTGCGGTGGGCCCTGGAGGGAGGGAGTGGTCCTGTGGGCAGGCGGGGTGGGGGATGGGGGGCAGAGCAGGGGCGGGGCGGGGGTGGAGCGGGGGCAGGGCCAGTTTTGGGGCACTCGGTCTCTAAAAGGTTCGCCATCACTGATGTAGTGCATTCTCTTATCTTAAGATTCCAGGGATATCCAACTAATCCTAGAATCACTGATATTATTATTTCAGGAAACATACTCTTAGACTAGTTTCATACAATAATCTATAATTTGCATTACAGTGCTTTTTGAAATAAACGAGTGACTTCATGCAACCTGTTTAGCTAGTATTTATAAACGGCACTGTCTGGGTTCATAGAACACACTAAAACTAAACAAGCCACATTATAATTTAGTACAGTAGGTGAACGTCACCTCTGATTTTGTACAGAACCCAATGCAACCTGTGTTCAAATGAAAGTGATTACTGTAATACCCTTTCTGTATCTGTCATTGGCAACCATTTAGAAAAAAACTATGTTTGCTGGAAAGCATCATCAGCCTTCTAAACTAATTAGCAGCTAGTAAGTCATTAGCTCATTTTTCTTGTTAAGGAATCCTGTTGTACAGGATTATCTTGACCCCCTATCATTTTTTCTCTGTTCACCAGATTTCAGCAGTAAAGATTTTTCATCTAAAAACTTGTCGGTGTTTCTGCCAGGAGGATTTTTAAAATCATGTCCTTCGCCTCTTTTCTGCTCAATACAGAAACTTTAATACAGCTTTATTATGAAAGGGATTATTATTATTATTTTGTTTCAGATTGAGTGAGAAAGAAAGTTGAAATTCATTTAGAAGGAACTGATAATTTGTCTCCTTCTGATGCTGGGAAATCTGATGAGTAGAAAAATTCATAGTTACCAAACCATGCCTGAATATTTGACTTCTGGGTGTTCTGAATTCATGGACTTACATGCCTTTCAGAATTTAATTAGTCATCGATTTGTATACTTTTTGAATATTCCAGAACAATTCTTGGCTCAAAGCATCAGAATAAGTTTTAAAGGTTATATTTAAATACATACTTAAATGCAAATGAAAAACATTTTGGACAAGTGAAAAAGTGGGACGGAATGGCTTAACAGAGAATTTACAGGTAGTCCTCAACTTACAACAGTTCATTCAGTGACTGTTTAAAGTTACAACAGCACTGAAAAAAAGTGACTTATGACCATTTTTCATACTTAATCACCATTCCAGCATCCCCACGGATACGTGATTAAAATTCAGATGCTCGGCAACTGACATGTATTTATGACAGTTGTAATGTCCTGGGGTCACATGATTCCCTTTTGCGGCCTTCTGACAAGCAAACTCAATGGGGAAGCCAAATTCGCTTAACAGCCATGTTACTAACTTAACAGCTGCAGCGATTCAGTTAACAACTGTGGCGAGAAAGGTTATAAAATGGGGCAAAATTCACTTAATAAATGGCTCGCTTTAGCAACAGAAATTTTGGGTTCAATTGTGATCATAAGTCGAGGACTACCTCTATATGGAAGTAATACTGACAACAAACACATAGCTCTGTCGGTACCTAGTTTGTCCATTGATCTTGACAGAGTTGTCTCTGCTTCCTATAATAGGAAGCTTAAAATAAAAATAAAAATCCCTCCCCAAAAGATATCTTTCTGATTGTTTTTAAGAAAACTGCATGGATATCCGAAGACCACTTTTCTTAAGGAACCAAGAACAGAAGCATTTTCAGTAACAAGCTGAAAATTGATAGCAAAGAAGAGTCTACAACACAAAGTTTCTGGTTTATTATCCAACTTCCTTATTCTTAAGAAGTTCCTCATGTTCAACTGAAAACTCGTATTTTAAGTTTACTGAATCTAATCATGCTCTCTGAGGCAGCTGAGAAAAGCATTTTGAACGTCTGCATATGACAATTGTAGTATCCGAAGACTTAAGCCACAAGAGTTGTCTTTTCTAATTAAATTCGGTGCATCTCTATATAGTTATGCTGCCCTTTTGTGAGTGCAGGCCACCAACTTTTTCAGGAAGAGAATGAATGATACCGTCTTTTATTTATCTCCCTGCACCTCTGTCTGTATTTTCTTGCTCCATATTTCAAATGGTATTTTCCAGCTTCTAGTAGCTTATATTTTAATTTCCTCTGATGTGTTTAAGTTCCTTCTAGAAAAACTGCATTGTGCGCAGTGGTAGGAATTTCCCTTCACCCAAGTCAATAGCTGCAGCACCATTAAAAAAAATGTTTAAACCTTTAAATGCAAACTGTTTTTCAAAAGCATATATGTCACAAAATGACACTTGTAGGCACACAGATTGGACTAGGATTGTTATCTTGAAACAAAACTTTAGGAAGGCAGAGCAGATGGGGGATTTTTAGTGGAAGGCTATAGCGCAGTGATGGCGAACCTTTTAGAGACCAAGTGCCCCAAAACCACCCCCCACCCCATCCCTTGCTCCGCCCTGCCCACTGGGCCACCCACCACCTCCACGGCCTGCCACAGATCACCCAGGTGGCCCAGCAGCGCCATGGCGGCCATGCCCTCCACCCATGCCCTGCAACAGCATCTGCGCACGATGGGGCGCAAGGGTGGAGTCTTGTCCCTGTTGCCCGGCTACTATGTCCTTGGCTGTGCTGCTTCACTTGGGCCATGCCCGGGGGCCATTCTCTGGGGGCTGGTGAGGGGGCCATGGGAGGAGGCGGGGCTGGGGCGTGTGCCCACAGAGAGGGCTCCAAGTGCCGCCTCTGGCATGCGTGCTATAGGTTTGCCACCATTGCTATAGTGCAAGCCTACTAGTGAAGCAGCCCAGTCTGAAAGAATTTTTTAAGCTGGTTTAATGTTTAGAGTGTCCAGCTAGCATTAGCACAGAATAGGAAAAGCTTAGGGTTCTAGGGTGGAAATGCTCAATAGTTGGTTCTTTCAATCTCCTGCTACAGTGCATGAATTTATAGTGTTTCAGTCAATGCAGAACTGCCAGCAGTCCCACCTAACATGGCTAGTAGTGAAAAACACTGGGAAGTGCCTTATTGGTTTGCAGGGTGGGGGGGAGCTTATGTTTTAAAACTCAAACAATACATAGTCATCTGTATCTGATCATGAAGGAAAACCACTCAGATTTAGCACACATTCGATTTCTCAGGAAAAATTACTGC